TTGCCTTCAAATTCAACATCAACCCATGAAATTAGCTTTAAATGTGTCAATGCCAATTTCTTTGAAATTATTCATTTGAAAATTCAATCAAATAAAGACAATTACATAAGGAAATATTGTTCAATTTGGATTCATTGACATATTCATCCAATTGAATTTCAAATTTTCAATTACAACCCCAACCAAAATTTCTAAATGTGTACCCTCGTGAAATTAATGTTGTAAATGTGGAAAGATGCTATTTCACATGCTGACAAATTTAATGCTTTCTTCTCTACCAAATATGAGATTATTGGGAGGGTTTCTTCATCTTGTTTGACTTCAACATAGAACCATGCTTCTGACTGTTAAGAGGAGGGTGGGGGCTAGCGACCCCGCTCAAAAAAAAAAAAAAAAAAAAAAATCATTAGCTGTGCATGTTTTTTGTATTGATGGAGTTGTATTTATGTTAAGATTTTAGATTTTATCTTACTTTTTTTTTTTTTTTTTTTTTTTTTTTTTTTTTCATATATACCTTAAATTAGTTACAACGTAGTCACTCAATTTTCCTATAATTAGACTTGTTCTCCTAAAATGAATTTTTAAGTTCGTCCCTTAATTATCTTCATCTGACACTAGGGGTGAAATCGAGTTGAGTACTCGAGTCGAGTATTTGGATACTTGAACTCGATACTCGACTCGACTTAGCTACTACAGTATCGAGTTCGAGCGTAATTGAGCCTGATGCATTGAGTTCAAACTCAAACTCAGTACCTAAAAGTCCAATTCGAGCTCAGTTAATCGAGTTTTAGTCGAACTTTTTGAGTTTAATCGAGTTTTAGTCGAGCTTTTCGATGTTGACCGAGTTTTAGTCGAGCTTAATTAAGTTTTTTGTACAGTGATCGAACTCGACTTATGGGATTATTCGATCTACTCAAACTAGAACTCGACTTGGTTTTCATCCCTATCTGACATTGAGATTATACGTGGAAAATGGAAAGCAAACTTATTTTGGAGATATAATAATTAACAAGATCGATATATAAGCTCTAGAAGAACACATTTTTATTAGAAACCTCCTCTGAAGTGAGGTTTGTACTTGTTTTTCAAAATAAAAGATTCTACTTTTATTTGTCCAAAATTTGTAGGGTTTTACTTTACAAATTAACTCTACAACTTAAATAATAAATCAAAATCTGAACTATCTATGGATGGTTGAGTGATTCGATAGAGACTTTTGAATATATTATTTTGGAGGTGCGGAGTTTGAGTATCTCCTCAGTTAATAATAAGGGTAGCCACTGGAACTCTTACTCTATCAAAAATTCTAGGGTCCTAAGAGATGAGTTGAGATGCGTATAAACTGACCAAAACACTTCGATCATAATAAAAAATAGAAACCGGGAACTCAATCCATCACTTAAAAAGAATCATAATTTTACTTATTTAATCTTGTAACAAGATCACGATGTTTTAATGTTGACTTCTTTAATTAATTTATATTTTTTACGTAAATTAATAATTAAAATTGTGTTTAACATGATAAATATATTAAAAGAGAAAAATCGGGGAAAAGCGTAAATAGGACGCGCCATAAAGGGCGAAAGAAAGAAAGAGAATATCGAAGAAGTCGTAGTTGCATAGTAGCCATCAAATCAGATCTGGTTTCATACTGAACAAAAGGGTGGGACCCAATCTGACACAAATCACACGACCGCTTGTTCTTGTGTCAGTACAAGTGTGTTGTTGTCCACGTACAGTTAACAGCGCGTGACACTCCCAGCTGTCTTAACATCACACTAGAATCTTCCCCACTTATGTTCGTTCTTGTGTCTGTCTGTAGTAAATATTTTTACACCTGTCGGTCATGCGTCCTTTTTTAGTTATTTTCTCGAGATTTACAATTTAACGAACACTTTTTATTTATTTATTATTTTTATTTATTTCACTCTTGGGATGGGACCCATTTTTACCTTATTTACTATTTACCACTTTATCATGTGCAACATCAATCAATTTCCTTAATTTAATTGACTTTTAGTATAGTTCTAGTTTTTTCAAAATTAAGAAAACCAATTTTAATTATATATATATATATTTTTTATCACAAGTGTTTAAACAAATTTATATATATTTTAACTAATATTTAGAATTTTAAAATTATCGATCGAATGAAAACTCTAATGACCACCTCTATTAATATCCAAAAAGAGTCAAACTCAATAACTTATAAAATCTCATTTGACTCTTTTATTATCAACCACCCAATAATTGACTGATGATTTTTGTGTATTTGTATAACTTTGTTCTACAAATACACAAAAAGAATTTTTATAGTCCCATATGAAAAAATAATATTTAAAGTTATGATCAAACATAGGGAGATCAAAACCTTTCATGATAATCAATATTGTACTTTTGAGATATTTTAAGAGCATTTATGTAGGTAAATTTATAGTATTTTTAAGAAAAAAATATTATCAAAAAAAACTTTATTCTATAAATGTTTAATTAAAAATAATTGGATCGGAATTTAAGGGAGGTCTAAACCTTTTATGACATTTGTCATCAAGATAGTGGATATCACACCAAATCCCAAAACTTGCATCATTCTAAACATTTATTGATAATGACTTTCGTTAGCACAAAAATAGTAACACAAATTATTAATACATATATCACATACCACTATCAATCTTAAACATTTATCTTTTAATACATAACCCATGATAATATATTATATCTTGATAATATCCCAATATTTTTATTTTAAGATAAAAACAATATTTCATTACCGTAACAATGATTCAGACAATATGATTATAATAAAAACCTTAAAATACTACTTGAGATGTGTTAGTTCAAAGTCCTACATCAGTTATTTATATTGTACAAGGATATCCTCATCACCTAAAGATATATTTTCAAAACAAAATCGTGTAGACCCCATACCCAAGCAAACAATACCTCTAAGNTGATTAAAAAAATGAACTTAATATTTGGCTTTTTAAATAAATGAGAGGAATTAAAATAAATTGAGTTAATTGAGATATTTAAGTACACATTAGAATAAAGTTTCAAAATTCAAAAGATATTTAATATTTGGCTTTTTTTTTTTTATTTTGATAAAATAATATATGAAAAAACTCTTTTTTAAAATCAACTTTAGGTATAATATATCGTAGACTGGAAGATGATAAATATGGAACTATATCAAAGAATACACACACACAAAAAAAACAAAAACAAAAACAAAAAAAAAACAAAAAAAAATTTTGACTTATAACATAACAAGAATACTGGTTGCTACTATCAAGCCTAGTTAGTAAATACGAGTATGGCAAAAAAAGGGTACGGGAATTTTACGGGTATTGACAAAGTAAGAGTTCTAGTAACTGCCTCTATTATCAACTAAAGAGAGACTCGAATTGTAATATATTAAAGAGTCTTTATCAAACCACTCGATCACTTATAGGTAGTTAAGATTTTGATTTGTTATTTAAGTTGTATAGTTAATTTGTAAAAGTAAAACCCTACAAAGTACACATTTTTTTTAAATAATCAATATGATTATAATAAAAATCTTAAAATATTACTTGAGATGTGTTAGTTCAAAGTCCTCCATCAGTTACTTATATAGTACAAGGATACCCTCATCACTTAAAGATATATTTTCAAAACAAAATCGTGTAGACCCCATACCCAAGCAAACAATACCTCTAAGAATGCCCTTTATCATGTGTCAAGATCCTATATACATCAACATTAGGCCCTCCCAAGCCCCTCGATCACTAGGGTTGTGTTGGTACCAAAGTCCTACATCGGTTAAGAAACGAGAACTCCCTCGCCTACTAGGGGTTGTGTTGGGGCCAAAGTCCCACATCGGTTGGGAAACGAAAGCCTTGGTCACTTAGATAGCACAAGGACAACTAGACGCGTATTTTCATGATAAAACTGTACAGACCCTAAACCCAAAACGGATAATACCTCTAAAAATCTACCTATCATGTGTCTGAATTCGACATAGATCAACTTATTATTTATGAAAAAAAGTCATATTTAATTTTTATTATTAAATTTCAATAATAATAATTAAGATTATTAACAACAAAACTGATTTAATAATAAGCATTTATTAGTTAAGATTTTATCCATATTCAACGTGTTTTATTTAAAACCCTATATATCAATCATGGACCATGAAAGATACCAACCTTGACTTCAACTCCCCACTTTAAAACACTAATTAATTGTTTAATTTTCCACTAATGAATTATTACTAAAATAAATATCTCACACACTGCCATAAAACTACCTCCTTTTTATCGGCGATAATTTGATTTTATATCGTTTGTTTCCTTGAAACTCAAACAATCATAATCTCATATCGAAATCATGAACTGGAATCACTGTATCACGTGATACAATAAGTACCACATCTCCAGAAACTGACCCCCCCCCCCCAATGGCAAATACCGTAATATTCTGATAAATCTGGGGTCAAAGTTCTTGGACCCCATCCCAGAAAAACTTGTCGTTTCCTAGGGGATCTGAGGCGAGTGAAAATCGCTTTCTCAACTTTTCTAATCTGTTCCTGAGCTCCACCTGCACCTCAACTACTAGCCGATCGATTAAAATCTCTTTCCCCATATGTAAAAATCATCAACCTTTTTTATTTTTCTAATTTTTATAAGATATTTATTTTACGAAATAATTTAGTTAATTTCACAACCACAAATTTGACAAACAAGCCCATGTTCCCTACCGTGTACTCTCCATTAGAAGATTATTTCTCCGTAAATTACAGCTGTTAGCTAGAGATTCCGCGCCGATAAACTCGACAAAATGTAGCCGGCTTGGTGGGGCCTATATAACTGTACTTATCAATAACACAATCGACGTATCTCAAGAAGCTATGACTTTCTAGGATAAGCTATCAACTGATACGTTCATTCACTTATCATCCTTCTCAAATCTGTCTCCTCTTCCTATAAAAATCGCAATTTCTGCAAGGCTTAATGTCGGTATATAAATATAATTTTCAGAGAAGAGTTTTAGAGAGAGAAGAAAGCTTTATAGAGAGAGATATATTTATATGAACCACCTCCAATTCTAGACAGAGAAAGCTCCATTTTTCTAGAGAGAGAAAGCTCGTGTTAGCTCTCTCTCGCTGTAATCGATTCATAAGGTAAAGCTTTTTGTGTTTTTAAATTTCGTGAATTTTTTAAATTCGTTTTCACTTTTGTTTCCCTTTTTTTGTGTTAGTGCATCTTTGATCCCTTTGATAACCTTGATTTTCTTCGCAAGTTCCGTTTTTTAGCTGATTTAACTTCATTTTTGGGTTTATTTTTTTGATAATTGTATGAAAAATTGGGTTTTTTAGGGTGTATTATTGAAGGCAGTTGAATGATCTGGTTCTGGAGAGAGGCTTAATTTTTTTGTATTATTTTATTATTTTTTTGGTTTTTATTGAAGATTTTTCAGCTACCCTTTTTTAAAATTATTATTATTTTTTTTTGTGTGTTTGTTTTAATTGATATTGGCAGATCTAGAGATATATTTGGTGAAAATTGCGCTCTAGGAAATTAAAACGGGGTGATTAAACGATGTCGTCTCTCAGTAGAGAGCTGGTGTTCTTGATCTTACAGTTTCTTGATGAGGAAAAGTTCAAAGAAACTGTTCACAAGTAAGCATTTCTTTTAACATCTCACTTTTTTAAGAGAAAAAAAAAAAAAAATTAATTTTACTTTTCAATAAAGCTTTTATTATTGGATAATGTTTATTTTACTGTAATTATTTATCATTGTTATTAAGTAATGATTTGGCATCATTATTTATATCGAAAATAGGCTTGAGCAGGAGTCTGGCTTTTTCTTTAATATGAAATATTTTGAGGATGAGGTGCATAATGGTAACTGGGATGAGGTTGAGAAGTACCTTTCTGGTTTCACTAAAGTGGATGATAATCGTTACTCGATGAAAATCTTTTTTGAGATAAGGAAACAGAAATACCTTGAGGCCTTGGATAAGTAAGTTCATTGCTTCTTTGTTTTTGCATTTTTTTTGGGGTCATTGTAAGTGTTTTATTGATTTAGTTGCATGAAAATGATTGTTTACGTGTAAACTTCAATAGGCATGACCGGTCGAAGGCTGTGGAGATACTAGTGAAAGATTTAAAGGTTTTTGCTACATTTAATGAGGAGCTTTTTAAGGAGATTACTCAGCTGTTAACACTGGAGAATTTTAGGTATGAGAGTTGTGTTTTAACATTTGAATGTAGAACAATGTCAGGGAGTGGCCTTTCAATGGGATTTTATTGTATTACAGGGAGAATGAGCAATTGTCAAAATATGGAGATACCAAGTCTGCAAGAGCAATCATGCTGGTTGAGCTCAAGAAACTTATCGAAGCCAATCCATTGTTCCGTGACAAGTTGCAGTTCCCTCACCTTAAGAATTCAAGGTTACGAACTCTCATCAATCAAAGGTAATATTTCAAGAGATTTGCTATATCCTTCAGTTCAAATAGATCAATTGTGGAATTTACTTAGAGCGGACTTCAGGAATGTTGATACATGGTGACGATATTATTGAATGTCTTTATGCTTTTTATGGAAAGATTCCATTTGTCTTCCATGACTTTTAGAATGTAAAATAGATCAATTAAATAGCACCATTTTCTTTACAATTTCTTATTTTTATTGTTTCAATTGAAATATGCGGCTGTTCCATCTAATCCTGTGGAAAGAAAATGCTATCATGCAAGTATGATGATATGCCAAGAAATATGCTAACGGATTATCATGGCCGTAGGTGTAGGCCATAATTTATCAGTTCAAGATATCCTATGTTATTCTAACATTTTATCTGCTTTTGATGGCATTGGAATTTTTTTAATGTATTCTGGAGCTTTGGTTGCTTAAAAAGAAAGAACTGATATTCTTCCTGATGTAACTACAGCTTGAATTGGCAGCACCAACTTTGTAAAAACCCAAGGCCAAATCCTGATATAAAAACTCTGTTTGTTGATCACTCATGTGGACAACCAAACGGTGCACGGGCTCCATCACCTGCAAACAATCCATTGCTTGGGGCCTTACCCAAAGCTGGGGGTTTTCCTCCCCTAGGGGCACATGGGGTTAGTACTAACTTTAATTTGTCATCAATTTTTTTCTTAGTCTTTATATGCTTTCTTAATGTGCTTGGATTTGTGCTCAGCCATTTCAACCTACACCAGCACCAGTTCCAACACCCCTTGCAGGTTGGATGTCTAATCCTTCCACAGTTACTCATCCAGCAGTTTCTGGAGGAGGAGCTATTGGTCTTGGTGCTCCATCTATGCCAGGTGATACATTGCTCTGTCTTACTGTAGGCCTTTAGGTCTCTGTGTCTTATAGGCTGGGATCCTATGCAATACATAGTAATATTCTTAACCTGGGTTGTTTTATACAGCTGCTTTAAAGCACCCCAGAACTCCTCCAACTAACTCTTCTGTGGATTACCCACCAGGGGAAGCTGATCATGTTTCCAAAAGAACAAGACCAATGGGAATATCTGATGAGGTAGTCTGATTTGGCTCAGTTTCCACTCACCTATGAAATTATTTAATTAGCTGTTGACTATTGTATGCCTGTTATTTTATTCCTTGGTGTTCTCTTTAATTGATTTTTTTCTCTTTTTTTTGCAGGTAAATCTGCCTGTTAACGTTTTGCCAGTAACATTTCCAGGTCACAGTCATAGTCAGGCTTTTAATGCACCTGAAGACTTGCCAAAGACTGTCACAAGGACGTTGAATCAGGGATCATCTCCTATGAGCATGGACTTCCATCCTGTACAACAGACACTTCTTTTAGGTCTAATTTCTTTGGGCCTTTTATTTTTTTATTTGTAGTTTTTGTATGTTTAATTTGTCTTGTTATGTCCTCTAAAGTGTCAGTGTCTGAATCTGACTTTTGGGTCTTTTTCTATTTGATGCCTTAGTTGGAACCAATGTGGGGGACATAGGATTGTGGAATGTTGGTTCCAAGGACCGGCTGGTTTTGAGAAACTTTAAAGTTTGGGATCTTAGTGCATGTACGATGCCTCTCCAGGTGTGTCCCTTCTTATCCCTATCAATTGAAGCACCCATTATGAATGTGCTATATGCTAAATGAATGCAATATTGGCGTGGCTAAAATTGAAGTTATTTGATTGTAATTCAGGCTGCTCTTGTCAAAGATCCTGGTGTGTCTGTTAACCGTGTCATATGGAGCCCTGATGGTTCTTTATTTGGTAAGTTTGAAGACTTTTGAATTTATCGCTTCTTAATTATTGGGGTGAACTGGATCATTTGTTGATGCATATTCCATTTTATTGATAGGTGTGGCATACTCAAGGCACCTTGTTCAAATATGTTCATATAATGAGGGAGATGAAGTTCGACAGCACTTGGAGGTATATTTTTTTCTGGGTTAAATGAGTGTACAATTTTTCACTGCTTGCTACTGTATTTGAGTTTCATACATTCAAGTGACGCTAAAATCCTTATCTAGATTGATGCTCATGTTGGTGGAGTCAATGATCTTGCTTTTTCTCACCCAAATAAGCAACTTTGTGTGATTACCTGTGGTGATGACAAGACCATCAAGGTTTGTTTCTGTCCATCATATGTTATTAATTTTCATATCTTGACTGGAAGTTGCCATTCCTTTCTAATTTGTAATCTAAATCTAGGTGTGGGATGCTGCTACTGGTGCAAAACAATATATATTTGAAGGTCATGAGGCTCCTGTCTATTCTGTCTGCCCTCATCATAAGGAAAACATTCAGGTAACTGGTGTATTTTATGCTCATTTCACTTTATGGTGTTAGTTACATGGTACTAGATTGTCTTGTTTATATTTTGCCTTTTGCATCTACTGTTGAAAATCTTTCCTAGTTCCTGATCTCTTTATCATGCTTTTGTGCTTCAGTTCATCTTTTCAACAGCTCTTGATGGAAAGATAAAAGCTTGGTTGTATGATAATTTGGGATCTCGTGTTGATTATGATGCTCCTGGCCGTTGGTGTACAACAATGGCTTACAGTGCTGATGGCACAAGGTTAATACGCTTGACTTAGTGTCTGTGTTTCTGGTCTTCTGCTGTTAGTGACTTGTCAATACTAAAAATGGTTTAGTTTTCTCCTTTCCTTTTCCTTTTCTGTGTTGGTGGATTGATACTGCAGGCTCTTTTCGTGTGGGACAAGTAAAGATGGGGAGTCTTATATCGTTGAATGGAATGAAAGTGAAGGAGCTGTGAGAAGGACCTATCAAGGATTCCGCAAGCGATCTCTGGGTGTTGTGCAATTTGACACCACTAAAAACCGATTTTTGGCCGCTGGCGATGATTTCTCCATTAAATTCTGGGATATGGACAATGTTCAACTTTTGACAAGCATTGATGCTGATGGAGGCCTTCCAGTAAGTTAACTATGGTTCCACTATATTGTTTGAAAACCTTTTGATAGTGGCAGTTCCTCATTTCTGCCTTCCATAATTCCCAGGCTAGTCCACGTATCCGCTTTAACAAGGATGGCAGTCTCTTGGCTGTTTCTGCCAATGAGAACGGAATTAAGATTTTGGCAAATTCAGATGGCATGCGGTTACTGCGTACTTTTGAGAATCTTTCTTATGATGCGTCGCGAACATCTGAAGCCTCAAAGGTAGTATAGTAATTGGTCTTGGAATCCAACCTCAAAGTTTGAACAATTCTAACTTAAAATGTTAACTGCAGCCTGCGATAAACACAATCTCAGCTGCTGCTGCAGCAGCAGCTGCCACTAGTGCTGGAGGGGCGTCAGTGGTTGCTATTCCTGGAATGGTGTGTGGAGCATGAATGTTCAATACATAAATTTTTTTCTCTTAAGTTTATTTATCAGTAATGATTATGGTCTGATGGGGCATACTATACAAATGTATTTTTCATTTCTTCCATGACAGATGGAGCTTGGTGTCATTATTTTGTGATTTGTATATTATGTGTTTTAACTGTAAGTAAATTTATCTTGCCAGAATGGGGATGCTCGGAGCTTGGCAGATGTGAAGCCTAGAATAGTTGAAGAATCTAATGACAAATCAAAGATTTGGAAGCTTACGGAAATCAGTGAACCATCTCAGTGTCGAACTTTGAGACTTCCTGAAAATTTGAGGGCAACCAAGGTATCAGATCTGCTAATTTACTTTCTTCTTGAAAGATTTTCTTACATCCTAATTTGTATTCTGTTATCCTTGTACTGCTTGATTTTTTTATGGCAATTTCCAGCATTTTGGTCATTTAAGCAGTAATATGCACTTCCGGACAGTTAGCTGATATTTTGTATGTGTTCTACAAGCTATTTTCCCTGTTTCATCCACAGAAACTGCTGCAGTAGAAAATGCCAAAAGTTAGCTATAAATCTAATTTTGGTGCAGATCCTGTCTGACCATAATAAAGCCTATCTGTTGCAGATGCTAATTTTGCTAATTATATGAAAACTCTAACAAGAGGTGAGGCTTAGGTTAAGCTTGGATAATTATATCTGCGGTGCAACAGAGCAACTCCTTTAAGAGGATTAATTAAGTATGCATCTTAAAAGTCGTAATATGCATAAGTGGCAGATTTCAGTTATGCACATTAAACATATAGCACCTTGCTTTTCTCCCATGGAGGACATAAATATGGAAGCTCAAGATATGTGACATACAATCTAAAAGTTGCTGTTTCCTTGGGTTGTAAGCCTGCTCTGTGATATGTCTTGGTTTCTGAGCCTATTCCATTACATATATGTAATGAAATATGATATCTTTGGTTCTAGAATTATACATATGTTCTAATCAATGCTAATTATGTTATTGGCTCTTTTTTGTTCTGGATTATTCATTAGTTAGGTTCATCTCATTTTTATATGTTAATTTAAAACCAGCCCTTCCAGACTCCAGCTAGTGGGACTTGCCCTGGATGTTGGATACTTTAGTGATTCATGAATAAATTTGGATGTTTATTTTAGTGAATTTAAATTTGATAATGTGTCACATTCACTTGTACCTCACAACTTTCTTTCTTGAATACTACAGATATCAAGGTTAATCTTTACAAATTCAGGGAATGCCATCTTGGCATTAGCATCAAATGCTATTCACCTGCTCTGGAAGTGGCAGCGAAGTGATCGTAATTCAACTGGCAAGGTACTAGGCTGCTACAAATTAGTTTCTGTTGGCTTACACAGTTTTTACTTTTTAGTCTTAAAATTTGGAAAATGACTCATGGCTTTTCTCCAACAATTGGTCATTCATCCTGTAGGCAACTGCCAGTGTGCCACCTCAACTATGGCAACCACCAAGTGGCATTCTTATGACCAACGAAGTTTCAGACTCAAACACTGAAGAGGCTGTTTGTTGCTTTGCTTTGTCCAAGAATGATTCTTATGTAATGTCTGCATCTGGTGGAAAGATCTCCCTCTTCAATATGATGACATTTAAGGTAATTCATGAACCTTCAAATTGAGTTTGATGTTTCTTGATATTCATTTGACGATTCTCAAAACTTTTTTGGGCAAATACAGACAATGGCAACTTTCATGCCACCACCACCTGCAGCAACATTTCTTGCCTTTCATCCTCAAGATAACAATATTATTGCTATTGGCATGGATGATTCATCAATTCAGATATATAATGTCCGTGTAGATGAGGTATGATGCAGATATGCTATTTGTGGACATTATCTGTGTTCATTTGGAAAGCAATATGTGTGATTTAGTTTCCTTCTGTCATGGCAGGTTAAAAGCAAGCTTAAAGGCCATTCCAAAAAAGTAACTGGCCTTGCCTTTTCTCATGTACTGAATGTGCTAGTTTCATCTGGAGCGGATGCTCAGGTTAGCATTTTTCTATCTTGGCTTGTGCTGTGAACCATAGTGCTGTATTTGTTTGTCATCATTACATTTACCAACTTTCTTTACAACATTAATTGTGTTCTTCCCACACTCATTGATTGTCACTCTCTGGACTCTTGACTCTGAAGATTCCAATCAATATCTAGGTTAAATTATTATCATCAATGAATTATTAATAAATATTATTTTCATCAGCATAATAAAAGCTTCTCTCTTTTGGGCTCTTATGTTGAAGCCATAAGTAAAGATTTGATGTTGGTTCACTTGTTGCTTATTTCACCAGCTTTGTGTATGGAGCTCCGATGGATGGGAAAAGCAAAAGAACAGATTCTTGCAAATTCCAGCTGGGAGAACACCGACAGCTCTATCAGATACACGTGTACAGTTTCATCAAGACCAGATACACTTCCTGGTTGTACATGAGACACAGCTTGCAATATTTGAAACAACAAAACTAGAATGTGTGAAGCAGGTAGCTTTTCTTTGGATCCATTTTGTTGTGAAGGTCACGACTTTTCTTAAAAATAATATTTTCTTTTGTTACTAATAGTGGGTCCCACGGGAGTCTTCTGCCCCAATCAGTCACGCAACATTCTCATGTGATAGCCAGCTGGTATATGCTTGCTTCTTGGATGCAACTGTCTGTGTGTTTAGTGCTTCAAATCTCAGATTGCGTTGTCGTGTCAATCCATCTGCATATCTTCCTGCTAGTGTCAGGTAAATCTTTTGCTCCATTGCTTGAATTGGGCACATACCAGTGTCACTGTCCTGCATTACATGGTGTATGCAAGTTCTCTTTGTTTGGCATTTGTTCTTTCAGGATTTTAATGTGTGTTTTTTTTTTTTTTGGGGAGTTTATTTTGAGGGCAATTTAAATTTACTTATGTTTCACTAGCAAACGACTGTCAGATATTCTTCCTGACTTGCATTGATATGCGTATTGAGGTGAATTTGCCCTTTTTGGCATAATTTGTTTGAAACCGTTTTTTATTTACTTATAGAATGAGACTGTGATGTCACAGAGCACTATCATCCTCGTGAGAGCTTCTTTTCTTACTGATAATTTCCTTATTATTATCTTACAAGATCTCACGCTGGATGATTCTGTTTTTGGTTGCTTGAATTTACTAATGCATTTGAGAGAAAATCATACTTCTTGATGAGAAAGGAGAAAATTACTGAGGTGGGTTGTGGAATAGAGTTACGTTTTGCCACTCTTTGGGCTTCAATTCTGGACGAGCGTCATGACTCTTCTCTCTTCATACAAATCAATGGGAAGGGGTTTTGGTTAATATTGTATAGCTTGTTTTTGTCTTTATGCACTGGAACTTATTCATTCAGTTTTAACTGAGGTTATCTTTAACCTGGCAACTTCTCGTGGGATGCCAAATTAAGTCAAGTTAATACTTCAATGATTGCCTTTTTTGATTTTATCAACCCTTCTTTTACTTTATGCAGTAGTTCCAGTGTCCACCCGCTTGTGATTGCTGCGCATCCACAAGAACCAAATCAGTTTGCTTTGGGACTATCGGATGGTGGAGTTCATGTCTTTGAGCCCCTTGAATCTGAAGGAAAATGGGGCATTCCTCCTCCTGTTGAGAACGGGTCAACGAGTAGTGTACCAGCGACACCCTCAGTTGGAGCTTCAGGTTCAGATCAAGCCCAGAGATGATGAAACAGCTGGTCGAGCACAAGTCCTTTTACATGCTTGGCTTGCTGGCCCTTTTCTAATTTAGGTACGCTTTTTCTTAATGTTTGTGAAAAGCAGTATTATTAAAATTAGACCATACCAACTAGTTGTTCAAACATCCATGAATCATATGCCGTTTTGATGCAAAAATCGTAGTAGGATAGTCGATTTGGTTCTATTAGTTGTTCAACGCTTAAATTTAGGATACAAGATTCACAATGTTAACTTGTATATTTCATGTTAACCTTATCTACTTGACTAAAATGATCCGTGGTTGAACTATGTCGACTTGTTTCCCGGTATTTTGGGTTTTAATTTTATTTTTTACTATAAAATCACTTATTTAATTGGGTTTTCTCTTTTTGCAGTTTGAGGTTCGAGACGTGTAATTTACTCAAAGAACAACATGCAAAAATGTAGATTTAACATGTTTTTATCAGGATACTGTGTAAGGTAAATGCTGTAGAAGATTTGATAGTGAAATGTTTTTCCTTTTAGAAAAGAACATAAAGGTTGGAATTGCATTGTTTAGAAATTATTTATGTTTGATTTGAGGTAGGCATGGCAATGTTCTCCAAGATTTCGGGGACCTGTCCCGAGCCTCGGTTTTTTCGGGGATAGGGGCGGGGGTGTTTTAATCCCCGTCCTCGGGATGGGCGGGGGTGGGTGATGCCTTCTCCGGCCGCCCCATATATAATATATAAAATTAAAAAAAGTATATATTATATATAATAATATATAATATAATATATATATATATATATATATACTTTTCACTATATCCCTATATTTCATCTAATTACACAATTATCTACCGATACAAACTCATATTATCCTAATTTCCCTCATCCTAAACAATTGAACAAGAACAAACCCTGACATATATTTATGTATAATTAATTATGTTTAACGATTAATTTAAGTGTTTGTCATGTGGACGAGAATTAACTATTGTGTTTGGTAATGCTCAAATTAATTTATTTTATTAAAAATTAACGGGGCGGGGACAGGGCTCCAACATTCCCCTTTGAGGCGGGGAAGGGGAATTCCGTCATCCTTGTAACGGGGACGGGGAATGATTTTGAGGGTAGGGATGGGTGGTGAATGAGATCTCCGTCCCATCCCGTCCCATTGCCATGCCTATTTGAGGCAGGGAGGACTGTATTGAAAATGCAAAAATCTCTCCGCTATTTCTTCTGAAGGAAAACTTATACACCCCACATCGGTAATTTTTTTTTTTTTTTAAATTTTGAAAGATATAAATTATTTGAATACACCCCTAAGAATTAAGAAAACTTACATTTATAGTTTTCAACTTTTGAATTTTGATTACTCATGCATTTGTGTTTAATGGGACTCATAAATCCTCTAATATCTAAGCAACACTTGAAGTCAATAAGTTATCACAATTCACATAAATTTTTTCAATCAAACCAAAACGAAAATAGTTTCCAAGTGGGTATTGCTTTAGGTTCTTTTTCCAGGTTTTGGTTTTGGTTTCGAAACTATAGTAATTGGAACCGGAATCACACAGTGTCGGTTCCAATAAAATGGAACCAGACTTACAACACACGTGTCGGTTTTGGGTAGGTTTCGGTTTCGGTTCTACCACAAGTTCTGGTTCTACTGTGTACCGGTGCTACCCTTTTTCAATTACTTTTATGAGCATATACTGAATATTGCAGTTAGTAATCATATAAATAAGATTTAAATATTTGCAAATATACAACAAAAATAAATATACATTGTCTAATATATTAAATCTAAAAATAGCATAATAAAATATAGATAGTAACATATTGAATAATTGAAATTATATTGACATTTATTCAAAGTGAACCTATTTTCCCCCACATTTATCTTTCAAGACCCACCAATGATTTAATAACCAACTTCGGGTGAAACTCAGCAAGTTGTTGGGTCTCGAGTTGACCAGTTTAAAAGGTTGGACCGGCCGGTCAACTTGGGTTTCAAAAAGTTTAAAATTCAACAAATACACCTTAAAAATTATCTAGGCCCTACAGGTTTGAAATTTAGCAACAGCCCAAATAGGTTGGGCGGTGATGACAACCAAATGCAATCACAATCATCCTTGAGTTCATTCCCTAGAAAATCTACCCAAATCTGGTCAGCGTCGATTGATTTCGCTAAATCTCACAGTCGACGTCAACAATCGTCCCCATCATACGAAAATAGTCCACTCAGCTCTTGGTCAAAAACTATCTCACCACCCCTGTTCACCTCGCCATCCCGCAAAAGTCGACTGTGTTGCGCCGTTTTTTTCGATTTTCGATCGATAACTCATAGAAATCACTTCCGTCACCACATTGCATTCATTGACACTTCCTCTTCTAAACCCTAAAATCCTAACCTTTAATAGTTCGTCGATCATATCCCAAATTCTAGAGATTGGATAAATAGGGAAATTGTTAACCGACTTAGTGAAGGTCCTAATTCAAGTTTCAACCGTCATACTAGGTTTTAAAACACTGGACCCCACTTGTAAATTTACCCCTTTAAAATGTTTATAAACTCCACATCCAAAAATCACTTTTATTTATATTTTTAAAATTTTTATGTTTTTTTTATTTATTTTAATAATATATTTACTTCTTGTGTTGAATGTAATGTTCAGAAATGAAATCCATTCAGAAGATTGGAAAAAATAATTAGTGTTATGCCCAGGAAAATAAAGGGCTGACGTGGGAAAGTCACGTGAAGGGTGACCTGCTCCCGTCAGAGAGCACGCACACGTCGGACCTGCCAAGTGATATGTGAGCCCACACGCGTCCTTTTTCCTGAACAAGTCGTGCGATGTCAGCTTGGGAAAAGGGAAATGGGACGTAAAGCCGGATTACATGACAATCACACCAAACCATGGATTTGTGATGATTATACGCTTCAGTCCAGTATAAAATGAGGAGGACCCCTTCATTAGGGGGATTCGGCCATTTTTCATACAGAAAAAGAAATCTCTCTCTCTTGTAAGCTTTTCTTTGATTTTTCGTCATGTAAGTTAGCTCGCGACCGCGACCTGACACACATAATATCAATACAAATCAGTGGACGTAGGACTTGCTACCTTAGCTCCGAACCACTTAAAAACTCCCTTTACATTATTCCGCTTTTAATATTTCCTTTCGCGTGTATTGAACAGCCAATCAACATTACACACGTGAGGATCGTTGGTGCTTAAACTGAGCATCACGTTTGGCGCTAGAAGGAGGGCCCTCGTTTAGTGTCTACCCTTCATCAGGAGAATCTTTGACTACTGGTCTTACAACTACAAGGCCCGCCAATCTGAACCTGAGCAAGGGAACCAGCATGCAGAAGGAGTCCCCCTGGCCCAGAGGACACCCCTTCCAATACCTCTAATTTCGCAAAATGCTGCTGGGATACCCCAGCAGCCCCGAAATGGACCCTGCCATCAGGAGTTACCTGGAGATGTTCGATAATACTCTCCAGACAGTCAACCAGAGGTTGGACCGTCTGGATCAAGGCATGTCATCTAAGACAGTCGGAGCCGTACAACCGCCAAAAACGCCTGCAGGTCGCGCGAAAGCGAGGCAAAGGGCGATAGCCGTGCCGCGAGCACTGCAGCGCGTAAGCGCAAGGGTAAGCAAGTGGCAAAAAATAAGCCTACGGGCTCCCAGGGCCGGCGAATACCAAAGGTGCCCCTAGCAGGGTATCTGCAAAGCTGAGACTTGGGGGCGAGAGAGTGGACCCCGAGCTGTCCCATGCCACGATGCAGGCAAACCCAAGCAAAAATGTGGGCATGGTGGTCCCGATCACCACCAGCAGAGCAATCCCGATCGTTATGCGGGAGGGCTCGCCACTCGCGGGGCAGTTCGTACCACCGCGAGGGGCGTGAAAGTGCCCCTCAAACAGTCGTATTCACATGCCCATAGTCAGCATGTGTCAAGTGCGGCCAGAAATGCCGGCCGAGGCGAGGAGGAATCCGATCTCCGGACTGTCCTGAACCGCAACCGAGAAGGGAGGGCTCGCACGGGTGAAAACAACCCCCAATTGGCTCCATTACCGTAAATTGAGGGCTGCAGCGAGTCTGGACAGGTTAAGGGAGCAGCGAAACGAGCAGGCAAGATCGTCTCTACATCCCCATTTTCCCCTGAAGTGCAGTGCCACATTCCACCAGGGTTCAGAATGCCAGATATGCGGCCGTTTGATGGAAACTATGATCCGCAGGATCATTGTATGAGTTCAACGACCGATGGAGCTCCACCAGGTTTCGGACCTTGCGAAATGCCGATGTTTGGTGTGACGCTGACTTCACGCCAAACGGTGGTAAGGTCGCTCCCAGCGGGATCGATCAGTTCGTGGCCTCAGATGAGCACGACGTTCTTGCGGCATTTCCAAGCCAACCGAAATTTTCGATGCCTTTGAGCTACTCAGCAACATAAGGCAAGAAAGAGACGAATCCCTGCAGTCTTACGTTGACCGCTTCCATAGGGACTCAACAAGGTGGTCATGCCCCAGAAGATTCCATCCGAACTCTTATAATAGCCGGAGTTCGCCGCAAACCGACCTGTGGAAGGAATTGCAGGCTGAGGACGATATTTCCCTCACCAGATTCTACAACCCGGGGAAAAGTATCTCGAATAGAGAATTCACTGGCGGCACATTCGCCGTCGCGATCACGGCCACTCCAGCAGTAGTCAGGTCGGGGAGATAACAGGCGAGCTGATCGTAAAGGAGACAATGACCATCAGCGAAAAGGGAAGAAACCCCGCTACGAGCAGAAAAAAGACCTATGCTCCTGTCCCCCGTCACGACGTGACAGGGCCCAATACACCGCTGAATGTGTCCATATCTGCGATCCTCGACAAATCCGAGGAAGCCAGCCTGCTCGGTGAACTAGAACCCATGAAAACTCCTGCAACGGCCAGGAACAACAAGAAATACTGTCGTTACCACCGGGATAACGGGCATCACTGATGAGTGCCGAGCTCTAAAGCAGGCTATCGAAGAGCTTATCAAGAAGGGGCACTTCAAGGAGTACATTGACGAATCCCCAAAAGAAAACCAAGGGGAGCGAAAGAACAAGCGTCGTGGTCGCAGCGGGTACAGCAGTGTGAACCTAATTTACGAGGTCCGCACCTCACTGGAAACACGCGGGGGGCGCAGGACAGGTATGCTCGGGAAGCGCATCATGACCCGATCAGGGTCATGAGCACATCGCAGCGACCTCAGAAAGCCAGGAAGGAAGAACCAATCACCTCTGCGAGAAGGAGGCAGCTCGCTTGCACCATCCACACGAGGACGCTCTGGGAATCACACCCCTGATTGGATGTCATAACGTCTGCAGGATGCTTGTAGACAATGGAAGCGCTGTGAACATTCTGTTCAAGTCCGCTTTCGATAGATGAACTGGTCGAGGCCGACCTGAAGCCAGCCTCGATGCCTCTATACGGTTTTACAGGGGATCACCTGATCCCCAGCGGAACAATCCAGCTCCCAGTCACGCCGGCGACTACACGAGGTGACTAGGGTTACAGAGTTCCTGGTCGTGGACTGCCCATC